AGGGACCACTTCTGACGATTTGTAGTGCTTGACTGTAACCAAAGCTTTTTCATATTTTTCTTTGACATGGTTTCCTATAAACAGTAATTTTTGCAGTCAGACTTCTTAGCTGTGTCAAAGTGTGTTTTTTTCTTCATTGAACATTTCGATCTTTCGGGTTTTTGGCGAGATTTATTTAGAAATCTTTGATCGTCTTTGTGTTAGGAAGAGATATATTTTATTAGTTTCATGTAATGGAATCTGCTGAAGAGCCATTATGGAAATTTCGTTATCCGCAACGAACGAGGACCACATTCACTGATTTGGAACCTGCTTTTCGGCATCCATTACTTCCACCTTCTGTTTTTCTGCAGAAAGAGACATCTCAGCAGTCTCAGGAAGAGTCAAAATACGACTTTATAGACCCCCTAGGTATGTTTGCAGGGGTTTTTATAAGATGGGAGCGAAATTATTATTTTAGGTGCAACGATCGAAGAGGAACTTCCAGCTAATGTCACTCGACTTGACTTGGATGCTCTTGAGGATATTAAACCAAAAAAGGAACCGATTCTAGATAACACTCTTGAAACTAAGAGCAAAGACGGTCCGGTCAGAGGTATGGTATTCTATAGACTAGAAATCCCAGCTCATTATCTTCTTGATTTAGACGTGGAATTGACGGATTTTGAACCGTGGAGATCAAAACGAGCGCAAATATTAAACGAGCATGAGGCTTCAGATAAGAAAGGCGCATATTCTACGTTTGGGTCGTCGTCCCCTGCCAAGTTCACCATGAGCAGCAAGACTCGACACAGGTGCGTTTCATTCTGCATTCCGATTAGATAATACTTTTGACTATAATTTTCTATAAATTAACTTCAATTTTAGTGACATGTAATTATGTTTATCTATAATTGTTTATTATTTGTTATTTTGTTGAAACTTTTGTTTGTTAGTACGCACATTTCTTCCTTCTTTCTTTATCTTTATCCAAAGCTTCATTGTCTTCAGATTGGAAGTGCTAGAGGACATGTCAGGACTGCGAAAGATGTCGGACATTTCCGAAAATGAACTAGTCACGCATATAAACGATCTGCGGGAGAAATTTTTGGCGGCCTGGGAAGACAATCAAAGAGTTGAGTCCGTTCGGGTAGGTTGATTGAGAC